TAAAAAAGGTATCCCCCATTTAATTTTAAAATAAGGAGGATTTTAGCCGTGGTGATTTTTTTTTTTTTTTTTTTTTTTTTTTTTTTTGGAGGGGGGATTGGGTATTTGGGGGGGGGGTGGGGGGAGTCTCTTAGAGACAATATTTAATATGCTGAAATGAGAATATCCCCCAGTCCCTACTTTTATATATTAGGTCTTATCTGGCGCGATCCGACATTGTCTTTATTTACAAAACTTTTTTTTTTGATAGGGATCACTGGTCATTATTTCACAGCTTAAATTAAAGCACAATACTAGAAACACACACACTGACCACCGCTTCGCTATTTTATACCATCTGACTTTAAAAAAAAATTGTTTCTCTGTTGTCAGTATTAGGTATGTAAGAGGATATATATATATATATATATGTATATATATATATATATATATATATATATAATGAAAGAAGTCAAAGCGGGCTGTATTCCTCCTCCTCCTCGTTGACTTTTATCGCTAAGTGAAGCATATAAATGACCTGAAAGCGGCGGCTGTCGCGTTAAATGGAATAAAATAAAGAACAATTATCCTCTCCTTTTTCTCCCCTCTCTGATCTGACGCTGAAAAGGAGTCCTGGAGAGATAAGGCGGATTGAATTCTCTCTGTTGTGCGGCAATAAAAAACGTCGAAGAGGAGGGGGCGGTGGGGGGTTTAGAGTGAGGGGGGGGCAGGTTAAACGCACCTCCCTCCCCCACCGCTATAATTTAAAATAATAATTTTCCTCCCCATTATTTTCCCCCCAGTGCCCTTTTTTTTTTTTTTTTTTTTTTGTACCGGTATTTAGTTTGTAACCGCAGTCAATTTCCGTGACTAAGTTTTATAATTACAGGTGTGGCAAACAAATCTGAAAGCTGAAACAAAAGATTTGATTTGATATGAACGAGTGTTTTTTGTTTTTTTTCTTAAATATATGACCGACTGTGTGGCTCCAGCTCTGAAAGTAATTATAACAGCGTCAGTTCGGAGCTGAATTGGGATGCTTCAGGGAGCTGATGTAAAACTTGGGTTCAATGAGGTATCATCCTAATTTACAGCTACAGATAAGGAGGCTGAGTCTGTCATAAAATTAAAGAAAAAAAATCACCCCACTTCCCTCCCCTACCACCATACTCCTACCTCCTCCCTCCCTCCCCAGGACTGGATTGCACCCCGGGCAGAATAGCAGAGAACGGGAGCCGATCCGCCATATGTTCTTGGCAGATAAGTAAATAATTTGAATGCGCCATGTTTCTTTCTTTTAATTAATGCCACACTGCGAATGGGAGCCAAACTATATGAGCCTCCTCGACGAAGGCTGAGCTGTCATCCAAACTGAACAAAAGAATCGCAACAAACGCATTGACAATTAAAAAAAATAAATAGAAAAAGGAAAAAGAAAAAAGAAAAACGCGGGTTCGATTCCCACTCAAGTCCTGCTGTAAAGTCCAAACTCTCACAAAAAAAAGAAGGAAAAAAAGAAGTGGGGTGATATAGCGCTGCATGCTCGACGCGGACATGTTGAAAGGGAAAGTTAAGCGGGGAAAAAACACAGAAAGAAAGACAGAAATCCCATCGCATTCAGCTCGTGCCATTAAAGCTATAATTAAGCGGCTCCTTGAAGTGATTAAGCAGTCAAACGGGTCGGACGGGGCGGAATCCCTCCAGGGGGAGGCCTCTTGTTGTGAACTGTCAAACATCAAAAAAACCGGTTCATCGCAGGTGGGGTCACAGAAAAAAACAAAACAAAACAAAACAAAAAAAACGCCTTCACCGTTTACAGGCTGCAGAGCGCAACACGCCCGGACCTCGCTTCTGTAACAACACGAATCAGTATTAATGAAAGAAGAGAGAGAGAGATAGAGAGAGAAGAGGAAGCAGGTAAATGCGGAGGTAATTAAGCCTTGTTGGGAAAATGATTTGAGTTGAAGAGGCTTGACAGCTTAAACACCAGAGAGAAACTGGAGAGGGATTGATCCTAATGCTATTCACGCACCGATAAAAAGGAATTTTGAAAAGTGATTAATATTAGGCATCGAATATTTTTAACAACCGGTTAAACTCGAACAATAATAGTTAATATATTTTGGTGAGATGTCCGACTTTAACCTTTTTGGTTAAAATGGAACGCAACAAATCAGTTCAATCAGATATTATCACACAGTCCAACAGAGGATTAATGTACATATTTTATATAATGACTAAAATGAGACTTTAATAAAAGTCAAGAAATGTCGGAAGACTTGTGGGTTGAAAAAGTTTTGTGTCAAAACCTGCTGCTGTCTTAATCTGACAGTCAAAGATCAGCACATTTTAGTGGTTGTCAAGGAAACAGTTCGAACAAATGTAATAAGTTGTTCGATTTTAATTCTGTTCAGGGATTATTAATCTGTTTGTTGTTGTTTTTAAACTTGAAGGGTGAAATGAGCATATTTTGTAATTAGTCAGATTTTTAACTAATGTACTTCAGTAAATACCAAGTGCTAAAAATGATTTTCTATATTTTTCATTTAACTACTAAACATGCATAATTCAAAGTCAGCAATATTAATAATAAAAATAATCCTCCACACCCCACAAAAAATTAAATTTCTGCAAATGACTACAGAAATTGCATTGGTTTGCTTTTATCAGTGCATTGACAAACTTTCAATCATGTATCGTAAAAACATATATACAATCTTATGTTATATTGTATGTTATAAACTTATATTTTTTATTCCAATCTGGCAAGTGATGTTTTTTGTTGTTGTTTTTTTTTTGTAGTTGCCAACCTGATAATTATCTAACTTATTATCTCAATAACCTACAAATGCAGGGCATTGACCTGGTTGAAGACAGATTGTCTTTATTCAAAAAGTCTTTGCTCAGCACTTGAACAAAGAGCCGGAGGTATCAACCTTCCAGATACAGGATCCTTTCCATAACATGACAGCTTTTAAATTACCATCTCAGATAGAAAATACACATAGAACTCCTTGAATTCAATTAGAAGATATCCTTAAAAATAAAAATTAAAAAATGAACTCAAACAATTTAAAAAAAGAGAACTCAAATGAAATGATGTTTGGGACTATATTAGCACAGAACCACGTGGAGAAGGTAAAAATTAAACATTTTGATTCCCCCCCGATCCCCTCCTCCTGCTTTGTCATCTTAAATTAGACCGTCTACTTTTATGTTTCTTTTTTATTATTATGTTTTTGTTAAATATAAATAATAAAACCTGTATAAAAAAGCAGCCTATGAGTCTGGACGTTCTGTACCAAAAACGTCATTCTAAATTTGCAAAAAAAAAAAAAAAAAAAAGAAAAAAGAAAGAAACGAAAAACAAGTGGACTAATTAGGCCTATACAGGTATTTGATCTCTAATTGTGCCAGCCAATTTTTTTTCTAAAAAAAAAAAAAAATAGTAGCCTGTATCAGAATTATCAACACAAATCAGCATATCATTGAAATGTACATAATAAATAAAGTTAAAGGCCTCCCTTTGTGGTTGCCATAAACGTTATAACATTTACATTTCTTACAGTTCACTGCGCTCCGTCCTTCACATCCAACTCCAGCTCCTCTGCCCGGACAGGAACTTGTTGGATTTTTTTTTAATTTTATTTATTTATTTATTTTTTTAAGTTTTTCGTCTTTTCCCTCAGTTTTGCCACAACAAGTCCCCTTCAGATAACACTGTTCGTGCCTTTTTTTAATTGGCCGCGATGTCCGTAACATATTTACATGCATTTCTGTATTCAAATGACATTAAAAACATGTGTTGTGTGTGTGTGGGTGTCCGTGTGTGTGGGTGTCCGTGTGTGTGTGTGTGTGTGTGTGTGTGTGTGTGTGTGGTGGGGGAGAGGAGGAGAAGAGTCTTGAGGGTTACATGGCGGTGGCGTGTGCGGATGAGTAGGGGTCTATCCCAGTCTTGGTCATACCTGGAAACAGTATGTAAGCCACCGGGGGCTGTAAACTGGACGCCGACCAGGCCGTGCAGTTGCACGGCACGACGTAGCCCGGGTTCGTGGGCGACGGGTGGGTGTGGGTGTGCTGGCTGGGGCACCCGAGGGTGCCGAACGCGCCGTTCTGGTATCCCAGCGAGGAGGCGTAGGGCAAAGTGCTGGTGCTCAACGTGTGGGGCATCTCCTGGGTCATCTTCTGGATGGCGCTGGAGCTGAACTGGGTCGGGTCGAGGAAGGAGTAAGGGGCGGAGGTCGGGGGCAGGAACGCCCGGGCTTTCTCCGAGGAGCCCAGGAGGGAGTCGGCGGCCGACACGGGCAGTCCCTTCAAGTGGTCGGTGTCCCCGAGGTAAGGCAGCGGGAAGACATAGCGGTCCTTCTTCAGGAGGTTCTTGGGCTTGCGCCTGGGTCGGTACTTGTAGTCGGGGTGTTCCTTCATGTGTTGCGCCCGCAGTCTCTTGGCCTCGTCGATGTACGGTCTCTTCTCGGACTCGGACAGCAGCTTCCACTCGGCTCCCAGCCTCTTGCTGATCTCAGAGTTGTGCATTTTTGGGTTTTCCTGAGCCATTTTCCTCCGCTGGCCCCGAGACCAGACCATGAACGCGTTCATGGGTCTCTTGATGTGATCAGCGGGTTTCGACATCTTTAAACTTCACTTCTTTCTCTGTTTTTTCTTTCTTTTTTATCCCCAGCGGTAATGACAAGGAAAAGTTCTTATCGGAAAGGAAGCGAAGATATTCACCTGCGTAATTGCCAGTTACCGGTCATGCCAGTATGTTCAGCGTCTTGGGGACAGAAAAAGAAAAACGGGGCAAAAAAGAAAAAAAAAAAAAAAAAAAGAAAAAAAAAAAACCAGCGCCCGATCGGTTCTTCCCGAGGTGAAACACTGAAGCGCGATCTCTGCAGTCCGCTCAAAACTCTGTCAGACCTGCGGCATGGAGGAGGAAAAAACAGAAAAGGGAAAAAGAAAACAACGTTCATGCAAGATGCGCACACGTTAAAAATCCACAAAGGTAAAAGCAGCGTTCCGCATTCGGTTTGCAGGAGTCATAAAAAAGTGTCCAGCCTTAATATTGTTGTTATTAGTAATAATAATATATACTTTTTCCCCCGCTCTCCCCTCTATCACAGACTTTCTCTCTCTCCCTCTGTGAGGTTCGTCGTCAAGCACCTGGCTTGGAAATGAGCGGAAGAGCGTGAATACGAGCCAAAAGCGGTGAAGTTCAAAGGCTGGGCTGGTTTGCTTTCTGCACGCAATCTGACATAATCTGCAGGGCGTTCACTCACCAACCTGAACGCCCAATCAGCACCGAGACCGGCTCTTAGAGTACCTTCAGCAAAGAAAAGGGAGAAAATATAGGCTATGTACATTACAACATAAACAAAGACAGGGTGGTTGAGGAAGACAAAAAAGAGGGGGGGGGGGGGTTTTGGAGGGGGGGGGGGGGGGGG